AGCTCTACACCTTGTTATCTCAGATTCTCCAGCATCTGCAGTTCCTACTATTTCTGAAACATTGACTGATCCTTTCCTCCAGATATTGCCTGACCTGCTGTATTCTTCCAGCCTCCTGTTTGTCTCCCTTGGATTCCAGAATCTGCAGTTTTTTTGTCTCTAACTTGGATTAAGTGTCTGAGTGAAAGGATTGTATTTAAGAAGTTTTCTTAAAGGTAGAGAGGGGCATAGCAAAGGGACATTGAGAGAGACAGAAGTCTGGAGATAAGCATTCAGGCAAGAGAAAGGGAGGACTGCTTTCTTCGGAGGTCCTTGTCCTGGTGAGTAAGTGGAGTCTGTTGCAAAACTGAAAGCAACATGGACTAAGTGTGGTACAGGGAACCTGATACCGGCATAGATCATTCAAAACTCCCTAGTTATAGACATCAGGCTGAAATAAAGGGGCTGAGTGGCCACCACGGCTCCGACTTCAAATGGAAACAAACAGAAAGTTGGACGGGATCTGAGAGAGGAAGGGGGATAAGGTGGGAAGCTGTGGATTGGGACACAGGCTCACCTCAGATTCACGGAGCAAGAATTCAGAATCCCACTCTGTCCCCGCAGATTCCAGTACACATGCACTAAGAGGGTCAGCGCTGAGGGAGCATCGCACTATCAGAGGGTCAGTGCTGAGGAGGAGCTGCACTGTCAGAGGGACACTGCTGAGGGAGCGCCGCACTGTCGGAGAGTCAGTACTGAGGGAGCGCCGCACTGTCGGAGAGTCAGTGCTGAGGGAGTGCTGCACTGTCGGAGGGTCAGTGCTGAGGGAGTGCAGCACTGTCGGAGGGTCAGTGCTGAGGGAGTGCCGCACTGTCGGAGGGTCAGTACTGAGGGAGTGCCGCACTGTCAGAGGGTCAGTGCTGAGGGAGCGCCGCACTGTCGGAGGGTCAGTGCTGAGGGAGTGCCACACTGTCAGAGGGTCAATGCTGAGGGATTGTCATTATCACAGTACTGCTTGTGGGATCTTACTGTGTCCAGTTGCCACATGTCCTCCCTTGCACCAGTGATTACGCTTGGGAACATTGCAACAAAGGTTAGTTTGTGATCTTCACTCACCTTCCTGGCCTCTTGGATCATCTTACGCACAATCTGCTTGATATTAGGATCATTGTTTCTTGGGGGGTGCATGTGCACACTGACCCTGGTGACCCCTCGGTAAGAGACAGGCTCTGTCCAGCCCAGGTCCAGGTCAGGTATCGTTGTGTCACTCTGATCTGGCCAATATGTCGACTTGCTGTCACTCACTGCCTTCTTACCCTTTCCACTGTCTTTCCCCTCAACCTCATATCTGTGGTGGTTTCTACGAATTTGCTTAGCCTCCTTTGAGGAAATAAACTCTTTGACTCCCTCTTTCTCCAGGAGCTTGCGAAAATTAACCTCATCAGATTTTAGCAGCACATCCAGGGCCTGACGCTGCTGTTCACAATAATAAAACTCTGGATTTTTGTCAGTAATTCTAACATTAATGTGACTATCTTCCAAACACTCCAGCTGGGAGCTGCCCATGTTCTCTCTCTCAGCGACCAATCCTCTCTCTTTCTCCCTCTCGCTCTCTCTCTCTTCCTCTCTCTCTCTCTCTCTCGCTGTACTCCTGGACTGACATGAAGCAAAGTCCAACAAGTAAGGCAAGTTTTCTCTCTCAGCTGTGTCCTCCCTTTAAGGTAGCAATTGACAAGTGAGTGAGGCTAATCATCAAGTGAAGTTGCTCAGAGCAGCCTATCCTGCTTTGTGGGAGGCGGGATTTTGTTAAAAGGAGGGTTTTGTCTTTCAATCAGGTGAGCACAAAGAGTCAAATTCCCAGAAACTGTTTGTTATTTTGAAGGAATCAATGAACTTGCTTCTTGTTGTGACGTTGCAGCAAATCTAAAGTCGAGATGAGGAGGAATTACTTACCTCAAAGGGTCATAGATGTCTACAGCATTGAAACAGGCCCTTCGGCCCAACTTGCCCATGCTGCCCAACTTTCACATTTAAACTAGCCCCACTTGCCTGTGTTCGGTCGCTATCCCTTCATACCTATCCCATCCATGCACTTGTACAAAATTTTCTTAAATGACAAAATCACACTCACCTCACCACTTCCTCTGGAATCCCGTTCCAGACACTCAACACCCTCTATATGTAAAAATTACCCCTCTGGCTCCTTTTGCTTCTCTCCCCTCTCACCTTATACCTATCCCCTCTAGTTTTAGACTCCCCTACCATGGGGGATAAAGCTGATGGCTATCTACCTTATCTATGCCCCTCATGATTTTATGAATCTCTATAACCTCAGTCTCCTATGCTCCAGTGAAACAAGTTCCAACCCATTCAAACTCTGCTCATAACTCAAACCTTTCAGTCCAGGTAGAATCTGAGTAAATCTTTTCTGCACTCTTTCTCGTTTCATGGGCTAATAGTTTAATAACACTTTAATAGGTCATGAATCTGTGCAATTCATTTTATGTGGAGTGAGGTGGACACCAGGACAGTGAGTAAATTCAAGAAGGGGATGTGGAGAGTTTTAAGTAGTAACAGGTTGAAGACTGATGAAGAGCAGGCAGGAAAGTGGAGCTGAGTCCAAGATTAGATTGGCCACAACTGTATTGAGCCGAGAGCCTGAATGGCCTACTCCTGCTCCTAGTCCTTATATTCAGAATCATTTTCTGCCATGTACTGTATTTTCACAGAACACTTTAAAAAAAGATTCTTGAACAGAGTGCAGGGATTTGACAAAATTTCTATGACTAAACTACGAATATAAATTTCAGGGAGATATGCAGCTGGATGGATCACAACAGGTAAGGCAGGCTGAGGTTACAAGATAACAAGGTGTAGGGCTGGATGAACACAGCAGGCCAAGCAGCATCAGAGGAGCAGGAAAGCTGAAGTTTCAGGTCTAGACCCTTCTTCTGTTATCTCAGATTCTCCAGCATCGGCAGTTCCTACTATCTCTGAGGTTACAAGAGGTGCTTAAGAAATCTCGCTCCACTCCAGGGGACCAGTTGTGAGTGAGTTCCGGAAGTGGTTTCATTTGTTGTGTTCACTGTGTAGTGGCTGTGAGAATGAGTCACCAACTATCCCACTGGACAGCTGGAAAGTTGCCTATTCTTTGCCCAATTTAGCAAACAATGTTTTGAGGCAAAGGAAGATCCCATTGTCTCTCTCTGTCAAAACCCGTAGCTCCTGAGCTGCAGATTCAGATTCAGTTCTGACGCAGGGAGCTTCAGAAAGAAGCCTTTACAGAGAATCAGTGACCATTTCACACCCCTTTAGTGTTTCTGTGTTTCAACAAAAACAACTTGTAATTGTGCAGCATTTTAAGGAGAACGAGAACAGCTGAAGCTGCAAATTCCTGGGAGTGCGATCAAACAGAAGGAGAATCTCACCAGCATTCCGAGCCAGACAGATATAGAGTCATACAGCATGGAAACAGACCCTTCGGTCCAACACGTCCGTGCTGACCAGATGTCCTAAAGTGATCTAGTCCCATTTGCAAGAGGACTGTAGCAGGGTTCAAACCGACTGTGTCTGAGCAAACACATGTCCACACAGCCATGGGCTTAACGCAAGGGGAAGGTCAAACTGGATCACAGAGATATTTACAATGTTCCTCCCATTGAACAGCTGGATTGTTTCCTCAATATGACTCAGAAACACACTCACGGGTTCCTGATTGGCAGGTGACCAAGTGTGAATTCAATCTGATTTCGCAATAAACACCTTAGGAAGGAATTGATTTCAGCAACATCCCACAAACTTGATTGGTTTATGGTCAGCCAGAAAAATGGGACCTGAGACCATTCTAAAGTAAGACCCTCTGACAGTGCGGCGCTCCCTCGGCACTGACCCTCCGACAGTGCGGCGTTCCCTCGGCACTGACCCTCCGACAGTGCAGCTCTCCCTCAGCACTGACCCTCCGACAGTGCGGCATTCCCTCGGCACTGACCCTCCAACAGTGCGGCGTTCCCTCGGCACTGACCCTCCGACAGTGCGGCGCTCCCTCAGCACTGAACCTCCGACAGTGCGGCGCTCCCTCAGCACTGACCCTCCGACAGTGTGGCGCTCCCTCAGCACTGACCCTCCGACAGTGCCCACTCCCTCAGTACTGACCCTCCGACAGTGCGGCGCTCCCTCAGCACTGACCTTCCGACAGTGCGGCGCTCCCTCAGCACTGACCCTCCGACAGTACGGCACTCCCTCAGCACTGACCCTCCGACAGTGCGGCGCTCCCTCGGCACTGACCCTCCGACAGAGTGGCGCTCCCTAGGCACTGACCCTCTGGCAGAGTGGCACTTCCTCAGCCCTGACCCTCCGACATACGGCGCTCCCTCAGCACTGACCCTCCGACAGTGCTGCACTCCCTCAGCACTGACCCTCCGACAGTGCGGCGCTCCCTTGGCACTGACCCTCCAACAGTGCAGCATTCCCTCAGTACTGACCCTCCGACAGTGCGGTGCTCCCTCTGTAGTGCACTGTCGAGCGTCAGATAAGATCATCTGTTTAAGACTCTACGGAGGGATGTGAACCCATTACTTTCTGAGAGACAAGAGTACATCTCACTGAACCATGGCTGATAGCCAGCAATGAATTTTCAGAGAGATTATGTTTTGTGAGGACACAAGCCATGAACTCTGATTGAGACAGCTCGCTGCGCAGTATTGTGAATGGGATCCTTGCTTCCTTCTTCCTGGAGACTGCTGTTTCTTACCCTCTGACCCACTTTGCATGCCTTTTGTAAGTTGGGCAGAGTAAACCCAGGAAGGTTGGATGGATCAGCACTTGTTAGGAATTCCCAGCCTGTGTCTGGCGAAATAAAAACCACTTTCCTTGGGAATGAAGTGCAGGGAAATGCCATTGAGGGCGATGATTTTAAATTGTGTTGGAGGGCTCGATGGGCTGAAGGGTTTACTTCTGTACATGAATCAAAACTGGGTTGGACATTGTGATTGAGGGACTGCGTACAAATGACAAAGTCAGTGTTAATTCAAGAACAAATATTTTATTAACCACAACAGTAGGGAGTGAGAAAGAAAACAACAACTTTCCAGAGGCCAAGTGGAGGTTGTCACCGATTAATTGGTGCCACGTAGTTACTTGGGAATAAACCGACCCTTCCCCATAAACAGCCCTTCCACCACGAGGGGTCTGTGCTGTCCAAGACCTCGATAATGTCTCCATTCTTAAACTCCAGCTCGTCGTCTGCCTCTGCTGTGAAATCGAACAGTGCCTGAACCCTCCGAGGTTTCTGCAAGAGGGAGGAACCTTCGAGTGAGAAACCGTTTCGATGATGGAATGACAGTCACCATATGGTAAAACCCCCCACCCCCACACCCCATGGCTCCCTGCCCCAGCGACACTGTGATTTTGAAGATTTCCTCACACGTTTTTATTCCCCTTGCTTGCAAACCCCTCCATGACCTCACCCTCTCCCCTACCTTCCTCCTCTCCCACACATCCCCTGTGTTCATCCAACTCTGGCCTCTGGCTCATCGCCAGGTTTTATCGTTCCATCACTTCAGCTGCTTGAAACCAACGTTCTGGAACTCCCCGCTGAAACCTCTTTACCTGTCCTTTCCCCCCTTATTCCCTTCCTCTCCTCAGCACATGCCTCTTTGACTAAGCTTTTGGTCATTTCACCGAACACGTCCTGATGGGAGTTGCCATCACCTGTTCTTTGATTTACATTGCTCTCCTGTGACTGGTTGACTGTCTGTCTATTTCTTACAACCTGTACAGATCCATCGTAGGGATTAAAAAGTCTCTGCTGTATCTATTACACTGACAAAACAGCCAGAGGGGAATTGAGAAAACATTTTTTCACACAGGGATCTGGAATTTCCTGCCTTGAAATAGCGCAGAAACAGACCCTTTGGCCCAACCAGTCCATGCCATCCATAATCCCAAACTAAACTAGTCCCACCTCCCTGCATTTGGCCCATATCCCTCCAAACCTTTCCTATTCATGAACTTATTCAAATGTCTTTTAAATGTTGTAACTGTAGCCGCCTCCATCATTTCCTCTGGAAGTTCATTCCACACACGAACCACCCTCCGTGTAAAAAAGGCAGATCCAATAGGAACTTTCACAAGGGGAATGGGATAATTAGCTGGAGAGGGAAAGTTTGAGGGCTGTGGGGAAAGGGCAGGGGCAATATGGCAAGTGAGATCATTCTACCAAAGTGCCAGTACTGCCACCAATGGGCTGAATGGACTCTTCCTGTGCTGTGTGTTTCTCAGTCTCTGTGAATCTGAATCAGCTATTTATCGGATTTATCCTCTCGTGAAAGTTCCTGTTGCACCTACCTTTTCAGGCAGCACATTCCAGATCCCTGTGTTAAAGAATGATTTCTCGTTTCCCCTCTGGCTGTTTTGTCAGTGTAATAGATACAGTAGAGACTTCTTAATCCCTGCAATGGGTCTGTACAGGCTCACTGCGTTGCTGACAGGTTTTGACAATGGGTTACAAGGAGCATACTGAATGTTGGAAAAACACAGTTGGCGAGCCACAGAAGGAAAACCCAGGCTTCATGTGGACCTTCACCTTGAACTGGCAACGTCATTTCCAAGTTAAAATCAGGACTCACAGCGATAGGGAGAACACAAAGGTACCTGAGGGAGGGATGGTGGGAAAACAGAGAGAGAGAGAGAGAAATGAAACACAAAACGTAGTTAGTGACAGGATGACAAAAATATTGAGACAGAGCAAATAGACGAAGCTAAGGTGCAAAAGAGGGAGTGGCTCCAAGAAAAAGAGAAGGACACTGAGGCAGAAAGAAATGCAAATGAAAGATTGAGAGAGTGTGCAAGGGAGAATTTTCACGATATTAACAGAGAAACACGGGATAGATAAAGATAAATTATTTCCACTGATTGGGGATTCTAGAAGCCGGGGGCATAGTCTGAGAATTAGGGCCAGACCATTCAGGAGAGATGTCAGGAAGCACTTCTACAGACAAAGGGTGATAATTGTTTGCAATTCTCTTCCATAAACAGCACTTTGTGTTAGATCACTCATTAATTTTAAACCTGAAATAGATAGTTTTGTTAAGCAAACGTAAAGTTATTAAGGTCAGAGCATTGAGTACAGGAGATGCAACATCATGTTACAGCTGTACAGGTTATTGGTAAGGCCACATTTGGAGTACAGTGTACCATCTGCCCTGCTGTAGGAAGGATGTTATTAAACTGGAAAGGGTGCAAAAAAGATTTACAGGGATGTTACTGAGTCTGGAAGGTCTGAGATATAAGGAGAGGCTGGATAGCCTGGGATTTCTTTCCCTGGAGTGTTGGCGGCTGAGGAGGGGTGACATTATAAAGATTTATATAATCATGAGGGGCATGGATAAGGTCTTTTCCCCAGGGTAGGGGAGTCCAAAACTAGAGGGCATAGTTTAAAGTGAGAGGGCAAAGCTTTAATAGGGACCTGACAGGCAACTTTTTCATGCAGAGGGTGCTGTGTGCAAGGAACAAGTTGCCAGAGGAACTGTTAGAGGTGAAATGCAATTATAACATTTGAAAGACATTTGGGCATATACCCTGAAAGGAAAGGTTGAGAAGGATATGGGCCAAACACAGGCAAATGGGACTAGTTCAGTTTAGGAAACCTTGTCAGCATGGACAAGTTGGGCTGTAGGGCCCATTTCCATGCTGTATGGCTCTATAGGTATGTGGAGTTAGGCCACAGATCAGCCATGATCTCACTGATGGAACAGGCCTGAGGGGCTGAATGGCTTACTCCTGTTCCTATGTTCCTAGAGAGAGGCAGAAAAAAAACAGGCTTGAACAGGAGGAGATAAAAACAGAGAGTGATAATGTAACAGAGCGAAACAGAGAGACTCACAGGATCGAGAGAAAACTGTAGGATCTCAGAATGGGATCTGAGTGATTGAGGGTCTTAGGGAAGACCAGGATCTGCCCTAAGGTATTGCCAAATTGTTTTCACAGGATGAGAGTGTCACTGGCTAGTCAGCATTTATTGTCCATCCCTAATCGCCCAGAGGGCAGTTAAGAGTCAACCACATTGTTGTGGGTCTGGAGTCACATGTAGGCCAGACCAGGTAAGGATGGCAGTTTCCTTCCCTAAAAGACACTAGTGAACCAGATGGGGTTTGATGACAATGGATGATAGATTTATGGTCATTATCACAGATATGAACCTTCAGTTCCAGAATTAACACATTATTATTATTTTAAAAATTCATTTGCGGGATGTGGGCGTTGCTGGCCGGGTCAGCATTTATTGCCCGTCCCTAGTTGCCCCTTGAGAAGGGGTGGGGGTGGGCTGCCTTCTTGAACCACTGCAGCCCACCTGCAGTTGGTTGACCCACAATGCCCTTGGGGTGGGAATTCCAGGATTTTGACCCAGCGACAGTGAAGGAACGGCGATATATTTCCAAGTCAGGATGGTGAGTGACTCAGAGGGGAACTTGCAGGGGATGGTGTTCCCATGTATCTGCTGCCCTTGTCCTTCTAGTTGGAAGTGGTTGTGGGTTTGGAAAGTGCCTGAGGGTCTTTGGTGAATTTCTGCAGCGCATCTTGTAGATAGTACACACTGCTGTTACTGAGCGTCAGTGGTGGTGGGAGTAGATGCTTGTAGATGTGGTGCCAATCAAGTGGGCTGCTTTGTATTGGATGGTGTCAAGCTTCTTGAGTGTTGTTGGGGCTGCACCCATCTAGGCAAGTGGGGAGTATTCCATCACACTCCTGACTTGTGCCTTGTAGATGGTGGACAGGCTTTGGGGAGTCAGGAGGTGAGTTACTCGCTGCAGTATTCCCAGCTTCTGGCCTGCTCTGGTAGCCACTGTGACGGTTTCTGGTCAATGGTAACTCCCAGGATGTTGATAGTGGGGGATTCAGTGATGGTAACACCATTGAATGCCAAGGGGCGGTGGTTAGATTGTCTCTTATTGGTGATGGTCATAGCCTGGCATTTGTGTGGCGCGAATGTCACTTGTCACTTGTCAGCCCAAATCTGGACATTGTCCAGATCTTGTTGCACGTGAACATGGACTGCTTCAGTATCTGAGGAGTTACGAATGGTGCTGAACATTGTGTAATCATTGGCAAACATCCCCATTTCTGACCTTATGATGGAGGGAAGGTCACTGATGAAGCAGCTGAAGATGGTTGGGCCGAGGACACTACCCTGAGGAACTCCTGCAGAGATGCCCTGGAGCTGAGATGACTGACCTCCAACAACCACGACCATCTTCCTATGTGTCAGGTATGACTCTAACCACCAGAGCGTTTGCCCCTGATACCCATTGATTCCAGTTTGGAAAGGGCTCCTTGATGCCACACTCGGTCGAATGCAGCCTTCATGTCACGGGCTGTCACTCTCACCCTCACCTCTACAATTCAGCTCTTTTGTCCATTTAATTAACATATTTCATCAGTTGCTGTGGTAGGATTTGAAACCTGTGCCCCCAAACAATTAGCCCAAGGTGTGGAATTACTAGCCCAGTGACATTACCATCACATCACTGCCTCCTGTAATGTCTCTACTTCTGTTTAACATTAGCCTGGCTTTTGCAGAGGCACAGCAGCTCACATCCTGTTGCTACTCACAGGGTCTTTGTCAGCTCCCTCTGTGCACATGCACCTCTAAACCTACAGACCCTCATCCAGCCAGGGGTTCAATCCCACCACCTCTGATAAACCTAAGATCAGACTTACCGGTGCTGGTGGGCTCTCGTTGACTTTCCTGGCCACAAGCGGTTCCTGGATAGGGGGCTGTGGGCTGGAAGACTGCCTGAATCTTGGGGACACATCATTGAATGATGGCTGAGAGTTGAGACCTTTTCGGAACATTGACGAGGGGTCAGAGAAATGTGCGCTGGGCCCTGGTGGGATGGCCGGTCGTGGGTCTGGTACTCGGGATTCTGGCATCCGGAAATCTGGAATCCGGGAATCTGGCATTCTGGAATCTTGCATTCGGGCATTAGACATTCGGAAATCTGACATTCGGGGATCTGGGAATCGGGGATTCGACGTTCGGAAATCTGGGAATCGGGGATTAGACATTCGGGGATCTGGGAATCGTGGATTAGACATTCGGGGATCTGGCAATTGGGGATTAGACATTCGAGAGCTCATCATTCGTGGATTTGCCATGCGCGAGTCAGGATGACTAAAACCTCCCTGGAAAAGAAATAATCATTTAAGTCCTTTGTATTTTAAATCATTTACATACAGAAATATCATGCACATTATTGAAACTGTCACACATCTGCGCATTTCAGTCAACTTCTGGACACACTTTCTTGATGAAAGTGCCTACCTGAACATTTGAAATGGGAATATTGTAAGTAAACAGTTGTTGGTAACAGTGTAGTTGCAGGCTCTGACCAGTTGGTGGCACTGAGGAGTGAGCTTCTGAAGTTTCTTCCCCAATTCATGTGACGAATTTCTGTAGAAAAATTGTCTTCATCCGGTAACACCCCTGTACCCCCGCAGCCCCTACAGATGCTGGGCTCCTCTAATTCTGACCTCTTGCAAATTGACAACTTTTATCACTTCACCAGTAATGATTGGTTTAGTTATCCAAACCTTAAACTTTGGAATTCATTCTTTAAACCTCTCCCTGTCCCTCCATTTCTTGAAGATGCTTCTTTATTCACCTGCCCTAATGTTTCCTGAGAGTTTGAGTCAATTTAATTACGTTCTGGTGAAATGCCTTAGAGCCTTTTAATGATGTCTGAATTGTAAAATACATCAGTCCCAGTTTTTTTTGTCTACCTCATTGGGCCATTCAAGAGGCTATTAGATCAGTATTTGGATAAAAAGAATGTGCAGGAGTGGAAGAAGGCAGGAGATTGGTACAAGGTAATGATGCCCATTTTTTGACTTGATAGAGGTGTAAAAAATGATCAGAGGTATAGATAGAGTAGACAGCCAGAGACTTTTTCCTAGGGTGGAGGTAGCTATTACGAGGGGGCATAGTTTTAAAGTGAGTGGAGGTAGATATAGGGGAGATGTCAGAGGTAGATTCTTTACTACGAGAGTGGTCGGGGCGTGGAATGCATTTCCGGAGAGGGTAGTGGAGTCGACCTCATTAGGGGCATTTAAGCGACTATTAGATAGGCATATGGATGATAGTATAAGGTAGGGGTGGAGGTTAGATAAACCTTAGGTTTAGGGTAAAAGTTCGGCACAACATCGTGGGCCGAAGGGCCTGTACTGTGCTGTACTGTTCTATGTTCTATGTTCTATTTGGTCAGCATGTGGAGACACACAATGGGCTGAATGATTCCTTCCGCACTGTAATAATTCTGTAATTTGTGTTTATAGGATCTGCTCATGGCAAACATTCAACAAAAAATATTCTGTTTAGTCTGACAGTTTCCTCCTCACTTTAATTTTTTTTAATTCATTCACATGGACATTGGCATCTCTGGCTAGGCCCAGCATTTATTGTCCATCCTTAATAGCCCAAAGGACTGTTAAGAGTCAAACACATTGCTGTGGGTCTGGAGTCACGTGTAGGCCAGACCAGGTAAGGATGGCAGATTTCCCTCCATAATGGACAGTAGTGAACCAGATGGGATTTTCCAACAACCAATAACGGTTTCATGGTCATCTTTAGACTCTTAAAGCCAGATTTTTATTGACTTAAAACTTTACCATCTGCTGTAGTGGGAGTCAAACCTGTGTCCCCAGAACATTACCTGGGTCTGTGGATTAATAGCCCAGTGATAATACCACTAGGGCCATCGCCCCCTCTATGTAGGCAGCCAAATGGCCAAACGTGTCTGCAGAAAGTGAGTCACTTTAAAATAAATATTTATTTGGAATGATCTGGAAATGGGATGCAGTGGGTTTTACCCATCTTCGCTTTATTTCACAATCAGATGGACCTTTATACTCTCCAGTATCACCGGACCCAGCCTGCCCCAACAGACCCTCAGCTTAGGCCAGTGGCCACCAACTGCACCGTGCCCCCCCACCCCCCCACCCTCCAACAACTAACTGATGGGTATCAGCCCCAACTCCTTGCTGAGGGAATGACCAAATCCACAAGGAGTGTTGGCTCAGGATAAATATTGGTCCAAACATACACCCTGTCCTTTCTAAATTGAAGTCATTCATCCTTAGAATCTAAAGAGAGGGCAGCAGGACCTCAGTTTAATATTACACCTGAAAGACATTATCAGAAACATTCACTACTGACCCTCCCACAGCGCGGCTCTCCCTCAGCACTGACCCTCCGACAGTGCGGCACTCCCTCAGCACTGACCCTCCGAGAGTGCGGCACTCCCTCAGCACTGACCCTCCGACAGTGCCCCCCTCCCTCAGCACTGACCCTCCGACAGTGCGGCGCTCCCTCAGTACTGACCCTCCGACAGTGCGGCACTCCCTCAATACTGACCCTCCGACAGTGTCCCCCTCCCTCAGCACTGACCCTCCAACAGTGTGGCGCTCCCTCAGCGCTGACCCTCCGACAGTGCGGCGCTCCCTCAGCGCTGACCCTCCGAGAGTGCGGCACTCCCTCAGCACTGACCCTCCAACAGTGCGGCACTCCCTCAGCACTGACCCTCCGACAGTGCGGCGCTCCCTCAGTACTATGCTGGGATGTGTGTATGGAATCTGAGCTGAAATGTCTGTGATGAGAATGTGGCGTGAGACCTGCTCCCTCCACCTTGACCCACACCTTGAATTACCTTTGTTTCTTTTTTGGACTCCCGCAGGTAGATCTGTGTTGTTTTGGAGATCGAGCTGACTTTGTAATATTCCACCAGCTTGTTCAGGGAGTCAAATTTCTCCGACCACAAGAAATAGTGTCCTTTACCATCGCGCAGCACCTTAAAATGCTGAACGTCCTCCTCATGCCTGAGGGAAAAAATATCCAGTTTCCAGTTCAGAGAGTGAATTCTATTTTCTTACTTGGTCACAGAATGTGGTCATTGCTGGTAAAAGCCAGATTTATTAGCTCATCTCTAATTCCGTGTGCATGGCTAAGTTATTACAGCAGGTTTTTTGATTTGATTTATTATTGTCACACGTACATAGGTACAGTGAAAAGTTTTGTTTTGCACGCAGTATAGGTAGATACAAAGTGCATTAGTGCTGGGAGCACAAAGCAAGGTATATAATGTTACAGCTGCAGAGAAGGTGAACAGAAGGCAAGATCAACATTAAATTTAAAATTTGAGAGGTCCGTTCAGAAGTCTGATAACATTCTGAAGGTTGTTAAGAGTTGACCACATTGCTCCAGGTTTAATCTCACGTATGAACAGGAGCAAAAATAGACTATTCAGAACATCAGCATAAATGGGTTAACACAGTGTGGAGCTGGAGGAACACAGCAGGCCAGGCAGCATCAGAGGAGCAGGAAAGCTGACGTTTCTGAAGAAGGGTCCCGACC